TTCTCTGTTAGAGATTTAAGGAAGATATTGCCCTCTATAAGCATCGCATGTGAAACATAAAGTGAAAGTTGATTAGGTGAAGTACTGAAGATTAAACACAAAAATGAGATTATAAAAATGTAGTGTAACAAGAAATTAGGTTACCAATATTTCAATAACATAACATGTAAGCAGTTTCCCCGCTTCTCGAGAGATTAGAGAAAGTGAGATTCAATTTATAAGTTCGCTCTCAACCTAAACGTAGGTACTTAATTGAGAACACTCGGAACAAAATTGTAATCCCTTCAAGATCATTGTTAGCGCACTTCAAGACGCACAATGCAGATAATAGAAATCGAAAATGAAATCTTACGCTATTCGATCGGCTATGATGACTTCGTCTTGGGGAGATATGAACAATTGATTTCTCACGAGAGCGATGTTGCGAAAAAACGCACGTCGAAAAGCGTGCTAAACTAGCTCAAAAAAACAATTACACAGCTGCAAGGAAAGTGAATGCATTTATTGCATTCAGAACGTTCCTGCAATCATCCATTTAAATTGCAAAGTAAAAGTACATTCCACTATAATTAATAGTGCAATTAATTAGATGGGTTATTATCGACTTCTGCGAGATTATTAATTTTTTTCGCAATGGATAATCGGCCTGGCAACTTGTAATTAAGTTGGTAGTTTGTATTTACTTGTTTTTCAGTACAATTCTGCATCATTGTTCAGTAATTACGAGCTGGAAATTTCTCAGCAGTATCAACAATTATTGTTATTGCTAGGCACTCCTAACTAATAACATTAGCAAAAGCTCTGTATTTGGTGGTGACCACTATCTTTTGACCAGTGATCATAATCTGTTATGCGTGAAGTAGGCACACAAAACATAAGTCACACAACACTTACATTTTCCTCTGAAGGTGTGCAATCCGAAATGTCTGAAGTATTCGAAGGGTCTGAAGTATTCGAAGGGTCTGAAGCATGTGACGAATTGAAAGAGAAGAATCGGAATAAATCGAAAAAAAACGGAAGCAATCAAAACAAGTATAAATTGTGCACAACTCTTGTGCAGATAAAGCGCATTTTTTTTAACCGAAATTTGACATCACCAATGGATATATTTCTTGCAGACGTCTCAATCGCCCTTTGCGAGTACCCTTTTCCGACAATCCGTTCTTGAGGTATAAGGGAATATACCCGATCACGATACGAGGTCGGGGAGGACAACAATAATTGTTGTCACAATCAAGAGTTATTTAATAAATAATCTCAAAATATTTCAAATAGGACACTGTAATATCTAGATCTGAAATGCCAATATTTAAGTTTAAATTACTTTTCAGCCGATCACGATAAGAGGTCGAGGAGGAGGGCTATGGTTGGTAGAAATTAGTTCCTTTCGTATTGAGACCTTTCATTAGAGTACCATGAAGGATAAAACTAATTCCCCCCCCCCCCCCCTTCCCCTCCATCCCGTACATTGATAAGAGGACATAAAGAAGGGTAATAGTTGGTAGCAAACGGTTCCTTTCGTTGAGACCTTTAATTAGAATATTAAATAAATAATTAGAAACTTAATTAGACATTTTAACCCCCCCCCCCCCCACCCCTCAGGCCCCGTCGCTCACTGATCTCGAAGAAGAGTCGCACGGGAAAGTATATAAGTTGGTACAAACCAATTTATTTCGATGAGACCATGAAGGATTAGAAACAGTGTTACCCCCCCCCCCCCCCCCTTCTAAAGTTTAACTTGGTACACTAAAGCGCATACGTATGCAAAATCTGAGACCAATTGGGTTGTCGTATGTAAAAGTTATGCACGTTTACTGTCAAAAAACAGCATCTCAGGCTATAATTCGTGAGGGGGGGGGGGGGCTTTTAGATAGCGAAACCTTCAAGGTATAGGCTACCTACTGCAAAAAATTCCAGGACTCTAGGACCATTCCCCTAGTAGTTCGAAACAGCAGAAGTGGATCCGGACGGACGGACGGACGCAAGCAATACCACATTTTTTTAATTCTTAAAAAATGCGCTAAAAATGTGATGTAATCGAAACATTGGGTGAATTTCAAAATAGAAATAATTCGAAGTAAACGAAGTATCTGAAGAAACGTAAGGATCTGAAGGTGCCGATGAATCTTAAGAATTCAAACAGCATAATTCAGAAAACTCCAGGAAACAAAAGCATCTAAAGAAATGGAAATATTAAAAAAAAATTAATAATTCAATTAGTCCATAGATCTGAAAAATGAGATGAATCCGAAGAATTTCAATAATATGAACGAGGGGGGAACTGTAACGGTACTTTCCAGTACGGTCCTACGTTTTTTGTCAGAGAACACTACATGTCGTAGGAGGCGACTAAACAACAGGAAGTTAACGGCGAGGGTGTTGGATTTTGATTTTTAAGGATTATGATTTACTTCTCGATTGTGGCGATTTCATCATTTAGCAGAAATTCTTAAATTTTTTGGTTGTGGTGCGTGGATAAGTGGTCCTGAAATACTGTCCTCACTTAGTAAATGCATTTGAAAACTTAAGACGCCGGTCAGTTGTGGACTGTTGCATTATTCAGATTACAGGAAAGATTTTGTTTATTTTGCAGTCATCATTATCTGAGCTTGTGTGGAAATTGAGTTGATTTATGGCTGATTGGTTGTGTAAATTTGCTTTATTAATGGAAACGGTTTGCGTTTGCAACGTTATGTTACCCACCTGTAAATTACCGTAGGGTGGATTTTAATTTGTGTCATACTTCGCGTTCAGCTGCAAATGCGGTTAACTGCCTATTAGGGTGGTTTTATGATTGGTGTGGCACCTTAATAATCGAGAGCTTGTTCTGTTTTAGAGAACTTTTCTGCTATTTACGCCAAAATGGAACAAGATATTTCCTTTTTTTTTTCTATAATATCAGGAATTGTGCTACCCAATACCCAAAATGTGTAACATTTCGTTTAAAAATAAACTATACAGTACAACCTCTATAATCCGAATACACGCTAGTCCGAAATCGCGATAGTCCGAAATAATTTTGTTCCTCGTAACAACGATGCCCTGAAGACGTTGAAAAGAATAAAGTTTATTTCTTAATGCTTGTGTCCAAATTTATTATTTTCACTAGTTTCACGATAATCCGAAAATGTGATAATCCAAAAGGTCAGTGGTCCGAATCTATTCGGATTAACGAGGTTGTACTATGGATATGTGCACGGTGGTTCAAATTCGTGGTTTACCACTGGGATCTCCGTAACGGTAAGAGATACAATGTAGGTTAAATGGGCACAAAGTTACCCCTTTTTGTGACTAACAAAATGCATTTGAAATTTTTGGAAAGTCTTTGAAAATAACCGAGATATTACCAAAACACTGAAAATGCCAAATTTCGTTTTTATTTTCTGTAGACGGTCGGAAATGGACAGTTCCCGTTGGTACCTTCCATGGGCACTCTTTTCGGAGAATCTGAATCTGTTATTAGAATTTCACTAGAAGTAGAAGCTACAGGCCACTACTTTCTTATTTCTTATGGACGCCATATTGGATATTTACGGAATGAGATAGAGGACAAAAAAGAAATTCATTTGAATGCGTCGCCATCATAGCCATGTTGATTCAGCAAGATCTAGTTACCCGTGGATGTCTTGTTGAGCAATGCATGAAAATTTGATTTTGATATTTTTCTTGTAAATTTGTATAAAAATACGACGTGACACGTCATTATTTTTCTTGTTGTCCTCTATCTCATTCTCACAAGAAATTGCATTACATTTTATTGAATAAATTGGCTAATTAGAACAGATATCATATAAAATAGTTTTGTTTAAATTTTTCTTTTGAAGTTGTATTTTCAATATTTCGTATAAAACAAATGAGTCCATTTTTGCTACACATAAAGTTATGTTTTTTTAAATATAAAAGTACCATATTATTATTGTTATTGAGAGTTAAATAGGGGTAAGTTAGTTAAGAAACGTGGCCACGATATAGGGGTATCATTATTTATGGTCATGGTCAACGTATAGAAAAAATCCATGTGTGCTTGTGAAAGGTCCTAGAATTAAGTTTTGCGTCTAGGTCATACGTTCTATCCCTTTGTGAGTACCTCTCCCGACACCCCGTTGTCGAGATATTCGCATTTAAAGTTTTGACCCCATCGCCGGATACAATGCGTCCCTACCGTCAAGTTTTCCTGTGAGAGCACCCTCTTTCGACATATTTCTTGAGATATTCGCATTAGAAGTTTCGCCTCCACGAGCGGACCTTCAAGTTTCCCTATCACTAATCATTAGACTCGTTGACTTTATTGCAATTGTAACAAGCTATATCATAAGGCAAGGTAAAGTCTAAACTATTGCAATTTAAAGTTTCCGATTTCGAAAGGTAATTTATTGCCCTCTGGTAATTAAAAAATTGAAACTTGGCACACGAATGAATTACAATCGCCACACGAGATTAACTATCATATTAATGTTGAATGATTTTTAACTCTTCCTTCAGCACGCTACGCGTGACATACTTGTTCCTCATTCTTTTTTGAGACCACGGAACGCCCATTAAAATGTCTAACGTGGAATGCTGAAAATAAATCGTTAATTGGAAATTTGATATCGATTACTTCAGAAACTACCCTTCGATGTGGGAATGTCGAACTAATTATGATGTTTCACTTAACTTAATTCCATTAAGCTTCTGAGCGCCCTTAAATGTTATAACGTACTTTCAATTAAGAAATCAGCAGGTTACAACCGTTACGTACGGTCATAAATACTGCAATTAAATTTTTCCAACTACACTAGATCGTTAATAACATTTTCAAATACCCTCGGGACCTTCGTTATATTTCTACGCATCCGACGGCTATTTATCATTTACTCGAAAGTACCATTTATACGCTTTTCAAATGTATCACCTCATTAAGCCATAATTCATTTCGAATTGAACTTTCGGTGATTCAACTGATTAAATTAACCGGAGACTTCGAGCAAGATTTATGGACTCGCGATAAAAAGACTTACTTTAATTGAAATCCTTCGAATTCCTCCTGTTGTTCGCTAATCGAGGCGTCCAGGTCTAAATAGGAACCGTAATCTCCATCTTTGTACAGTTGTAAGGAGGCATCGTCCAGCTGCAATGAAAGAGACAACAGATTAGCAAACGAAAACGAGAGGGGCCAAAAAAAGTCCCAAAAATATGGCAGAGTTAAGACATCAAACCTTTGATATAACAATTACCGTCCATAATTGGGGAGTTGAACGTTATTATTAAACGCACAAAGGCAATAGAAGAATTTTAATTATAAAGTAGGCTCATATCCGTGTAGCTTAGGAGAACGATGTTTTAATTGCGGCTAATTTCAAACCGGGATTACCCCGTGGATACAGTGGAAAAATTATTGTTATTGCTTCGGGTAGCGGTGTTTGTTTTGGAATTAATTAAGGACGAAACAAATTAATAAAAACAGTTTTCTATATTAATGCAATGCCCGACGACGTATTTACGATTTAAATGTGTGACATTTTGAGTTAAACTGTAGCGCAAGAACTCCATAAGATGATGTACCGGCTGTCTTATCGCACTGTTTGTCGTTAAGTAGTTCATACGGCGCATTTTCCATGCATTGATCAGTATGTCCCAAAAGGCCATAACTATGTTTTTCTTTACTATTATAGAAGCATGTATGGTTAAAATTTCAAAGAAAGACTTGCCTACTGACCGATAGACTCAACAGGGCAGACCTCATCCAAATTTTTAGAATTAGGCACGATCAATTCCCTGAAAATTTGCAAAAACTTTATTAAAATTACTGATAACCAGAGGTTGAGAGGGCATAACTATAAACTTATCAAAGAAAATTATAAAACAACAATTCGGCAGAGTTTTTAACTTATGGAACTTTTACACTTTTGCCGTTTATTAACGATCCTAGAGATCGTTTATAATTTTGCATTGCTATCTGTCGCCTGCCTGTTGGTCTGTCCGTCTGTTCCTTTGTCTGTCTGTCCATCTATCTGTCCGCGTGAACGATAACTTTGTTTAGAAATGTTCGATCGCTTTTACATCTCCGTTAGTTATGAACTAAATTGCATGAAATTCAATATGGGCATAGCTTTAACCATATAATACGCAATGCCAAAAGTTGAATCGAATCGATTCAAAATCCACAGTGCCCTTTTCGCATCTCGACCATTTATAAACCGAATTGCAAACTTTTTTACTTATAAAAGTAATTGAATGAAATTTGATACATAGGCACTTGGAATAAAGGAAAATCAAACGCCAGTTTCAAAATTTGGTTTTGCGCATGCGCAGTGCCAACTTTGTTATTTATGGAAGAATTTAAATGAAATGTGATACATAGGCATTTGGAATAAAGGAAAATCCAGCGCCAATTTCGAAATTTTATTTTGCGCATGCGCAGTGCCAACTTTTTTATATATGGAACCATTTAAGTGAAATTTGATACTTAGGCGCTTGGAACAAAGGAAAATGTAACATTAGTTTTAAAATTTAGGTTTGCGCATGCGCAGTTCCAACTTTCTTATTTAGAAAAGCATTGAAATGAAATTCTTCTCATAAACTGAACTTTGTAATGGTTTCTCTGTTTCTTCAGATGTGTGTGGGTGTGTTCCATTGAAGCGTTTGTACGGATCTATATTTGCATATAAACAATACGAAATATGTTTCTCTTAAGTTCTTATCGTTCATTCTTTTCGATTATCTTTTAAGTTGTACCTGCCTGGATTTTACTTACTACCTACGCAGTACGGAACGACATCGCATATTTACTTGGATCAGCCACCTTATTAGAATTGGTATTGGCAAACGTACACCATGGTTTCTACATTACCGACTTAAAAAATTCTACCTACATATCATCTACTTCATTCTAGAACATTACGACCTACTCGAAGTTTGTTCTTGGAGATGTGCCGATTTATTCCTGTTGTAACCGCAAGCATAAAGAAACCTTGAAGTGTTACGATCTTGTAAATTGTTCCGATATGTCTCATTTTACTTATACCACCTGTTCCGCTACGAAGAATACACTTATCGAGACCCAATTTGTCCATGTTATTTTCTAATTACTACGAGAATTCATTTCTGTTAGTTTGATTGCATTGTATCCTTCAGATTAGCTGTGTTATTTGAGATATTAGCTATCGTTGCTTTGTAAATTAGTTTTTGAAATTACCGGGACTACCCCAGTTGCACCAACAAAAGTAAGCCTTGCTTAAAATTAAGTCGAACTTGGAATCTATGGCAACGATTTAAGTTATGCTTAACTTTTAAGGGATACTTAATTTTGACGGTGCAATTGCTTTTTAAATATTAATTACGGTTTTTAGTATACGATTGCCTCCGTGTCAGACGTTAGAATTGCTTACGCAATATTTTCTGTGCCGCGCTATTCACTACTCCTTTTTTTTTGTTTGTTGTGTTGTGGTCTGTTACCGATAAAGCTGAACGCACCATTTTGAGCTCACTAGTTCAAAGGTTTATTTTCGTCGACTCCTTGATATAACGTTTAATTACATACTGGTTTTCGATACAATCGAATTGAAACTATTACATGTGTTGTGTTTGATATTCATTTAACGATTATAGCTCCGTTGTTTTCTGAGAGAATCCAGCTTTGATATTAATACTTACTTTTTACTAAAAATTAATTTAAATTTAAGTATTGACAGTGCAGATCTATATACATATTATATTACAGTGTCCTATTTGTAATATTTTTGAGATCATTCATTAAACCACCCTCGATTGTGACGTAAATTATTGTTTATGTTCTATCCCTGTCAAATATTTTATTTCAAGAATCAAAGAATCTCATAGTCTGCCTTCTTCGCACTTCTTTCAGGGTTCCTACACCTCTGCGTCCTAAGCGATTTTTCCCTTGCAGTTCTTCAGATATCAGATGCTTCCATCTTTCTTCCTTTATCGTGCTTTTTTAGTTACGTCCAGCATTCCTCACGCAGGACCTGATACGGACGATTCCTTCGCTCCTGATTGCTTTTTGGTTTCCACCACTGCCACTTTCTTCTTTTACATCTCTTCTTTACTCGTCTAATACGATCTTATTCAGAGCTTCTTTCTTCGCGCCTACTACAATCTTTTCGATTTTTATCGCTTCCTTGTACTACCTACCTTTCGCTCCTTGTTGCTCCTTCCTCGTTACTCCTTCGAGGCTCCTACAATTTCTTCAGGCATCTTTTGCAACTCCCTCCCTTCGTTCTTTACACTTTCGTTCTGAATTTTTTTCCTCCACTTTTCTCTCGACTTTTCTTTACCCTTCTATCCATCTGGAGAGCACCAACGCTTGTTACATTTGGCATCTTTTAATGGCGGTCACGAAAGCATCGCTTCGGAAATGCTGTTATTTTGAGTTATTAAATGCAGATAGTAATCTTTACATTTCTTTATAACTAATTTGTGTTTTGTATGCGAAATTTATATTTTTTTATCTTTCACCTTTGTTTTTGAAATTGACTTGATTTAACTTCAATGCAGAATCACGTATTTGATACCGTTAACCTTTTTTTTAATCGTTTACGTTTTTGATGTAATGTTTATGTATTGATTACATGGTCTTGACCAGAAGTAACATTGATGTAAATTTTCATCATCATTTTTTTAATAATG